GTAAGTAAGTAAGTAAGTAAGTAAGTAAGTAAGTAAGTAAGTAAGTAAGTAAGTAAGTAAGTAAGTAAGTAAGTAAGTAAGTAAGTAAGTAAGTAAGTAAGTAAGTAAGTAAGTAAGTAAGTAAGTAAGTAAGTAAGTAAGTAAGTAAGTAAGTAAGTAAGTAAGTAAGTAAGTAAGTAAGTAAGTAAGTAAGTAAGTAAGTAAGTAAGTAAGTAAGTAAGTAAGTAAGTAAGTAAGTAAGTAAGTAAGTAAGTAAGTAAGTAAGTAAGTAAGTAAGTAAGTAAGTAAGTAAGTAAGTAAGTAAGTAAGTAAGTAAGTAAGTAAGTAAGTAAGTAAGTAAGTAAGTAAGTAAGTAAGTAAGTAAGTAAGTAAGTAAGTAAGTAAGTAAGTAAGTAAGTAAGTAAGTAAGTAAGTAAGTAAGTAAGTAAGTAAGTAAGTAAGTAAGTAAGTAAGTAAGTAAGTAAGTAAGTAAGTAAGTAAGTAAGTAAGTAAGTAAGTAAGTAAGTAAGTAAGTAAGTAAGTAAGTAAGTAAGTAAGTAAGTAAGTAAGTAAGTAAGTAAGTAAGTAAGTAAGTAAGTAAGTAAGTAAGTAAGTAAGTAAGTAAGTAAGTAAGTAAGTAAGTAAGTAAGTAAGTAAGTAAGTAAGTAAGTAAGTAAGTAAGTAAGTAAGTAAGTAAGTAAGTAAGTAAGTAAGTAAGTAAGTAAGTAAGTAAGTAAGTAAGTAAGTAAGTAAGTAAGTAAGTAAGTAAGTAAGTAAGTAAGTAAGTAAGTAAGTAAGTAAGTAAGTAAGTAAGTAAGTAAGTAAGTAAGTAAGTAAGTAAGTAAGTAAGTAAGTAAGTAAGTAAGTAAGTAAGTAAGTAAGTAAGTAAGTAAGTAAGTAAGTAAGTAAGTAAGTAAGTAAGTAAGTAAGTAAGTAAGTAAGTAAGTAAGTAAGTAAGTAAGTAAGTAAGTAAGTAAGTAAGTAAGTAAGTAAGTAAGTAAGTAAGTAAGTAAGTAAGTAAGTAAGTAAGTAAGTAAGTAAGTAAGTAAGTAAGTAAGTAAGTAAGTAAGTAAGTAAGTAAGTAAGTAAGTAAGTAAGTAAGTAAGTAAGTAAGTAAGTAAGTAAGTAAGTAAGTAAGTAAGTAAGTAAGTAAGTAAGTAAGTAAGTAAGTAAGTAAGTAAGTAAGTAAGTAGTATATAAAGTAGTTATTTGTATGAATGAATTGATGTTAAACTGAATTAATCAACTGTCCAAATGAAACACAAATGACATTTCTCTAAGTCTTCTTACTACACGTCACTGAAGTAATCAGATTTGTCTTTACAGTATTGTCACCTTTATAACAATCAGCTGAAAATAATCAATGAAACATGTTCGATTCTATCAAGATAAATAAAGATCTTCCAACTTTTAACAATATTATGTAGGGTTTTATAAAACCTAAAGATAATTTTTATCGATTATAGTGTATCAGTTACAAATCGAGTGAAAACTAGATAGTATTAAGACAAAATAAAAATAAAAAATAAAATAAATCTTTAATTACACTCAAAGCTTAAAATCAATACAACTTTAGTGTGTGTACTTATGATGGTGTCAAGCCCATAAAGGCTTGCCCCAGATCTTTGAGCTATTCAGTTAATCCATTCGTCTCGGGTCAGTTGTCACACACACGTCTTTCGACATTGTCAATTGTCTGCTCATAATCCTGGTTGTGTGTGTGTGTGTGTGCATACTAACTTTGCTCAATACATGCTTAGCCTATTTTTGTCTGACTGTAAACACTTAGTCACACATATCAAACATATCGAGTCGACTTATTCGGTTTCGGATTTAGATGTTCAATAGTTATCATGAGTGAATTTTGTAAGTGAGGCGATGAGAACAGATGAATAAATTCAACCAGAAATGAACAAACAAATAGATCGATAGTAAAATGAATAAATGAGTGAGATCTATTCAAATTCAACAGAGGTAGAAGCCGACCAGTGTAACAGCAGTAAGTAAGCGAACAAGCAAGTACCTCCGATACAACACAACATGCACCAAAGAAATTACACTTGATGGAGGACGAAAAAACCTTTACATATCTGAGCAGCATCATTGACGAGCAAGTTGGATCTGATGCAGATATGAAGACGCAGATTGGGTAAGCAAGGACTGCATTCTTACAATTGAAAAACATCTGGAGCTCCAAACAACAACAACAACATAAACCAAAGTAAGAATTTTTTTAATTCAAATGGCAAGACAGTTATATTGTATGGGGTAGAAACTTGAAGAACCAGCAAAGCTATCATCCATAAAGTATAAGTGTTTATAACCAGTTGTCTACTCAAAATACTTCGGATTCGTTGGCCAGGCACTGTCAACAACAACATAGTGTGGGAGAGAACAAACCAGATTCGAACAGACGAAGAAATCAGGAAGACGCGATGTAAGTGCATAGGACACACAATGAGAGGAGCACTCAATTGTGTCAAAAGACAAGACCTCACTTGGAACCCTCATAATCAATGGAAAAGAGGCGAACCAACGAAATAGAGACAAACATGAGAAGAATGAACAAAAAAATTGGACAGAACTGGAAAGGACAATTCAAGACAAAGTAGGTTGGAGAATGCTCTGGTTGACGGGCTTATGAGTGATGATGCGTAACAGGTGCAAGTATGTCAGTAATATTTCTATTTCAAAATAATGGAAATCAACAAACCATTTTAAAATAACTCAGCAGTCACAGTGTTGATAATAACAAAAACATCAGAAGGAGAAAAAAAATCAATCAATAATTCGAAGGATACACACTTACTTCCGATGCATATGATGGAACAGTTGACGGATTGACAACACCAGAATTTAATTGAAGCGAAGATGTAGACGAAGAAGACCATGAATAAAAACAATGTGAAGAAGTAGAAGTAGTAGAAGTAGAATTAGTGGTAGTAGTAAAAGATGAAGAATTAGAAGAAGAATTATTCATTGAATTTGTATGAGATGACGATAATGATGCTGCTGCTGAGGATGATGATGAGGAGGATGAGAATGATGAAGGAGGATGAAAAATATCATTAGGAAAACCAGATAAATAATTATGATGCATAGAAGAACCATTGAATGATGATTCCGAACAAATTGTTTTACCCAAAGATGAAAGTGAATATAAAACTGGACATAGACCACGTAGAAAAACTAAATTACATACAACAACATTACTATGATTAGGTGAATATAAAGCCTAGAGAATGGAAAATAAAAAACAAAAACAAAGAAAATGTAAAATCAGTACAAAGTAGTAGCATTATAGTGAAAAACATTATTATATAAACTCTTGTTCAATATGAAAAATCTGACCGCTTCATTTAGCTTAGGCGTTTCATCAGTGCTGATGGCCTGGTGTCTGATGAAATCTCAGCACGGATATAGAAAGCCCGATTGACTTTTGTTAACTTACATCACTCATGACGAAAGTGAGATATCCGTCTATTAACCAAAAGACGAGTCTACTGTACAGCAGTACGCTCCATCCTACTAGACGGGTGTGAAATATGGCCGGTAAGAATAGAGGATATACGTAGGTTATTAGTATTCAATCATAGGTGCGTTCGAACCATATCTCGTATATCATGGGACAACCGGGTAAGCAATGCTGGTGTTACAAAACGGGTACTAGGTAAGGATGGCAGATCAATAGACGAAGTATTGAAACTTCATCAGTTGAGGTGGTTGGGACATGTGTTACGAATGCCCAACCATCGACTGTCTCGTCAAGGTATGTTTTGCCACTCAGAAATAGGTTGGAGGAAATCTAGGGGCGGCCAAACTATAACATGGCAGAAATCCATGAAGTCACTGACAAATGGACTGAGTCATGTTGGTAGGTATAGTCTACTTGGTTGTGGTCCGCGAGATGATAATAATCGATGGTTACATATTTTGAATAATATGGCTTTGAATCGTCTGCAATGGTGCAGGTACATCCATTCTTTGTATTCTCTCAAATCCTAATCTTCTGAATTCTTCATCATCTTTATCTTTCTCTTGTCAGATTTATCAGACTGAATAATATTTCTTGAATGATATCTTCGTACTGCGATCTTCTGCATTACCGCTAATACTTTTACCAACTCTACTACCATGGAATTCGAATTGACAATTGTGTCTCTGTGCTAATGTGGTATGGTAATCTGAACTGATGTATGTACGTACGTACAACGTTTCACGCTGTAGCTGACTGACCATAAAAATTAACTTATTATACATGAATAATAAATTAAAAGATGAAAATATCTACAAATTTGAAATCGACTTATTGAAGTGATTCGTAAGATATATATTCACAGTTAATATAATATTATCAGTCAGTCATTAGTCATGTGTACATCGGTTCAAAATGTCATACCTCAATTAGTACAAGTTGGAAATAAGAGGGTGAATACCGGAATAGTAGATGTATTAACAAGATTAATGATAGTTGGAAAAAGCTAATAATGAGAAAGAATCTTCATAACGAATCTAGAAACTACAAATTCAAATGAAGACAATGAGAGAATGTATCCATCCACCATGGTAAACGATTTGGAGCCATGTCATTTACAGTATTTAGTCATTGCCTACGATAATGGTACAGAACCCGACTACGTAGTTTACATGTACCTAAATGACTCAGTTCACAAGTCAGTGTTACCACCATAGATCGATTTCATGTCATATTTTGTCAATCAATAGTTTCTTTATACATAATTAAATTGTTACGTATGCACGTAAACATGTCATTTTGATATGCTTCGATTATTACGAGTTTACCTTAGTCGGAAAACGAGAGCAAGGATCGAGGATCCGGCGACGCGACATGCTACCCTAATCCGAGTGTCCCAACCCCCATTTAATCAAAGAAAACTTGATATGAAGTAGAAGAACCTGCATTCTACAAGCAACCAGAAAGTACGAGGTACGAGTCCAGAAGAAGACACTGACGCCGGACTGAGGATGCTGGCTGGGTCATAAAACGTTACAGATAATGCGTATCTATACATTTAGATTGAATAAGAAACAACATGGAAGCCTGTGACACTGATAGTTAAGACGACCATAATATTGACCAATAGGAATCGACCAGTAGAATTAGACTTCCAGAAATAGTTCTCTTAGGATATTTGATAAATATCCTAACATAAATACAATATAAATACAGGTAGTCGACACCTACCAACATGGCTAAGTCCAGTTGTCAATGTCTTGATGGATTTGTGCCATGCAACAAACAAACAACAAAATATTACACAAAGCAGAAATTCACATAGAAATTATACCTGTAATTCTGAATAGATCCAACGTATTTGTAAAGGAAATGTCCGTACATGGGTAATTAAATCATCGACAACCATGGACAGTAAATGATAATGCCATTCTTGTTCACGTGTATGCTGATGTTGAATAGAATCTAAAATTTATGTATATACATATGTATATATAAAAATGTTACGAATTTTCAATTAGAGTTTATGGAGATTAGTGTTTTTTGAACACTGAAATAATCAATCAATCATTGTTAGACAACCATTAAAAACCTGGATGCGCACTGCTGGTGAGTCCCATGCCAGGACGAAACGGCCATCCAGTGGTTTCAGGTTTCTAATGGCGGTCTAACAATGACTGACTGATTGATTGATGATTTCAAGATAAATTTTAATAAATATGTAGGAGAAAAAAAATAGAAACAAAATTATGGAACTAAAAGAATATTGTGAACAAGTTTGACAATGTCAACCTGATTTCGAACAATCGATCAATGAATCAATCAGAAAGCAGTAAATAATGACTGAATGATTTCTGATTGAAAAAAACTAAAGAGAAAAAGAAGGCATTACTTGTATTATGAGTAGTAATGAGCTAAACGAAAATACCTAGTAATCGATGATTAGAGACCCTGAATAACATGGCTCAAAATCGTTTGCAATGGCACAGGTGCATTCATTCTTAATGTTCTCTAAAATTCCAAACTTTTTAATTCTTCGTCACTTTATCTTTATCCTTTTAAGTCTATTTCACTAGATTTTTACTTCCTGAATAATATTTTCTAAGCCTAATCCTTCCGTTTCCCCGTTCGTTATCTTATAGATTAGAGTTTTGAATCAGAAGTTCGAAGAGTGAACCACCTCCTCCAGCCAGGTAGTAGTAGTCCTCCCAGTGTACTACTACTACTCATAAAATCGACAATTTGTGTGAGGTGTAAACTTGTTACATAAACAATGAAATAACTTACTTTGAGTAAGATTATTATTATTATGAGTATTATTATTTGAAATTTGATCGAATTTCATAGAACCAATAACAGCAGCACCAGTGGATAATGAATGTGGACGTGTTGTAAGTGAATAATGTAAATTTATGGAATTTTTATCCAAATTAGAACGTGAATTCAATGTTGATTTTGTATTACTGTTATTATTATTATTACTATTAGTATGATTACAATTCTCATTATTGATATTCAGTGATGGATTTGAAGATGTCGTTGAATGATTGGATTTTTTTATTGATGATGATGATGACGATGATGGTGGTGGAGGGCCTTCGAGAGCTTTTTCATATACACGTCGAAAGCATTGACTACGCCATGTTGAACAAACAGTGGTACTATAACTATCTAATATTTGTGCTCCCAATGAACTACCACGAAAAGAAGCACCTATAAATGATAGATTTACAAGTAAATAATGATTTATATATATTTCTAGTTAAATCAAATAATTGTTTCTATTGATGTTGATGAAATGCAAATGACCAGTATATTTTAACAAGGTGGATCTGATGCACGTGTGAAGGTGTGGATTGGGAAAACAACAACAGCATTTTTTTCGATCTGGAACTCAAAATCACTAAAGTTACAATTTTCAATACCAATGTCAAGACAATTCTACTGTATGGAGCAGAAACTCGGAAAAACCATGAAAGCCGTCATTCAGAAGATACAAGAGTTTATTGACAATTGTCTGCGTGAAATATTTCGGTTCCGTTGGCTAGACACTATCAGCAACAACATAGTGTGGGAGAGACTAAACCAGATTCCAGTTGAAGAAGAAACTGGGAAGAAGCTATGGAAGTGGATAGGACACACATTGATTGAAGAAAGCAACCAACTGAGTCACAAGATAAGCTCTATTTTGGAATCCGTCAAGGTCAAGTGGGATAACGAAGATGAACGAAAACATTGCGCTGAGAAATGTTCACGGGCCTGAGAGGAATGAACAGCCATTGGATAGAATTGGAAAAGAAGGTCCAGGACAGAGTAGGTCGGAGAATGCTAGTCGGCGGTCTATCCTCCGGAGTAACAGGCATAAATAAGTAAGTAAGGTATGATGGTGTTATAATGCTGCTACGTATAGCTATTCAAATCCTACCGAAGTCCGAATTCAAATATTCCAATACAACCCAAGTACTATTCCCAAATCTCCTATATATCAGAATGCAACACCGTTGGATGGAGTCGCTTATTGGGTTGAGTACAGAAGAGAGGTAGGCAGGAAGGAACGGAATCGGAATCATGAAGTCTTGCAGATAGTGCGTATTTATACATTTAGGTCGAATAGGAAAGAGCATAGAAGTCTGTGGCATTGACAGTTTAGGACGACCAATAGTAAAGGACATTTTAAATGACATTGACAGTCCGGATGACCAATCAGAGACAACATAGAAGAATTTGACTTTGACAGTTAAAACGATCATAATTTTGACCAATAGAAATGGACCAAGAAGATTATACTTCCAAAAATAGTACTCTTAGGATATTTGGTGAATACCCGAACA